TCAGACAGGTCCATGTCACCTGTACCTGCTCTCCTTTTAATTCTGACCCATAAGCTTTGGGTTGGCTCCTTATCCATCTCCAGGCAGAGCTCCATGCTGGTCACTGACCTACAGGGCAACATCCCCTCCTTGTCTGCCCTGCCTCAAGAGCCTGTATTTCTCTATTCCAACACTTCAGTTATAGGAGTCATCCCACCATGTTTCTGTGATGCCAGTAAAATGACACTCCTGAAGGCATGTGCACATCTCTGACTTCTCTTGTATATTCCCTGTGGTGTGTGCATAAAAGCATTTAAGTTGGAACCCTGAGGAAGCTTAATTACTGGCAGGAGGAGCTGAAATTCCTTTCTGCTGCTGTTCAGATGCTCTCCTGCTGGCCTGCAGTTCCTCTCCAGGCACTGGGTATCTCTTGCTGGCACTGGCATCAAACTGGTAGCAGTGGGATGGAGGTTCCCCTCCCCTGGTAACTTTAGTTTATAGCCCTCTTTAACAGCTTGGCAAGCCTGTGACCACCAAAGGTGCTCTTCCCTTTCTCTTAATAGACCCCATTAGTCCCCAGTAGACAAAGTTTCTCAAAGTGTGGTCTAAGTAGCTGAGCCTCTGGCTGTGGCACCAGTCCTGTAACCATTTGTGATTTGCCAGATTTGACTGGCCCTTTCAAATCCCTTCCCTTTGACTGTGAGGATTGATGAAAACATAACCTGTGCTGTAGTCCCTTTCTGCAGCTCTCAGGGCTCTGAAGTCCTTGATTACTCAGAGTGAAATAAGATCAGTTTTCTTGTTGCCCAAGAGTTCTGTCTGGGGTTATTGGGTAGTAATTTTGCAGCTTTGATACATTACATTCATAAGAGTCAGTCCATACACTTAAACAGGTACAGGATCATCCATCTAAGTATTTTACAAAATAACAGATGTCTTCAACCCTCTTGGCAGAGTTGCCTTAACGAGACTTATTACTGCTAAAAAGTGCAGCTCCCATTCCTTTTGCTCCTGTAGAGTCTTCAGGTTCCTGCTGGGCAAAACAATCAGTTAGGAAGTGGGGTCTCAGCAGTGATCCACTGACAACAGGATCTGTGTGACCTTAGAGGGAGGAATGATTACGTCCGTTTTTCTCTTTTTTCCCCCCACCCACTATCCTACCTACATGTCTGCATCCTGATCTGCAGAAGCTAAGGTAGGCAGGATTGGTTTCATTACTAAGCTGAGCTAATTTAAAACCAATAACCAAAAATCCCCCAAACAGCCTTTTCCTGCAAAATGCTGGAAACCCTTACAGTTTCCATGAAACTCAGGAGATCCCAAGCATTGCCCCTTGGGATCAGATACGTAGATAAGGGATCTGAAGAAACACTTATAAGAAACACAGGCATTATGCCTTGATGCCTTTGTTTCCTTTCTCATTGGAGCTTCAGAAGAATTTCTAATTAGAAACTAGAATGATTCTTTCAATTTTTAATGGCCTCAGAATCACAGAGATTTCTTAGTCAGCATCTCATAATTTCTGAGAGTTTTATAAAGCTTCATTTATTGAAGATTCATTTATTTATATGGTTGCTGAAGACTGCATGACAGATATGAATTTATCTTCAGTTGAAATGCATTAGAAGTTGAATTTGTGAAAATAAGAATGTATAAAAGATACATAAAATCAAGAGAAACATTGGTATTAAATGACATTGTGAACCAGGATGCATGATACCAACTAGTACAGTGTCTGGGGAGGTAAATGGAGAGCTAAGTCATCACAGTCATGAGGGTCTGGGGTGCCCAATGGCAATTTTGGGATTGAGAAGTTAGCTTCACATAGGAGAAGTCTTTGATATTTTCTCCTTCCTGAATTCCCTGTGTTTTCTCTCATAATGTGCATTTTAGCTTTTCAGGGATAGATCATTGCCATTGTCTTTACTGTTGCTGAAGTACCTACTATGCCGTACAGAGGTAGGAGGGTAATTACTGCAAGTAAACCTCATTATTTAAAGAAAAAATCCAGTGTAAAAAGATGGTGGTATTAAAGTACGGAAGTAGTTTACCTGCTTCCAAGGTGCTGCAGAAGGAGAGCCTTGGGGCAGCCAAACAGGGAACAATGGACTTTCCATTAAGAAACAGTTGATGGAAACTTGATGGGGCAGTGTGTGGCATAACAGGATTTTATTTCCGTTCTTCAAATGACAATAAGAAGAAAAATAAAGTGGCAAAGCCTTTCCTGGGATCATCTGTGGCTGTCAGACTCCGTCAATGTGCTTTTGACACCTTCTTTAAAGGTAGGAAAGCAGGGAAAACTATATGCCTATAGCCTTGACCTTGTTTCCTTGTTGGGGAAACTGATCTGATGAGCTGTGTTTGTTCTTTCAAGTTTCATTTGTCAAAATACCTAAGGTCACCACAGGATTTGACTTTAGGAGATGAACTGCTATAATTAGTAACAATACACTTATTTCATTACTTGCTTTGATAGAAGCCGAAGGTCGTTTTTGTTTTTTTTTTTTTTTTTTTTTAAAAAAAACCCTCTTAATTTCAGAGTGAATTATATTAGGTTTTTGTTGTTGCCTGCTTGTGTTAAACTTTTTTGTGTGTGTGTAATTAGCAAGCAGTAAATTAGTTTATTTCTCTTTTGTTTAATTGAGTTAATGATGTCTGCAAAGAAACATGATACCACGGAGGTGTGTTTTTTTTTGCTGATCTCAAGGGGCTCTCAAGAGTTTCAGCTTTTGCCAGACTCAAAGCTGTAAGGAGAGCATCAAGAGCTGTCCCAACATCTTTTGAAAAATCTTTCACTTCATTGCTGCATAAAGGTGAACCTAAGTAGTACAGAAGACAGCTTGAACAGAAGCAGCCAGACTAGAGGTAGTAGAGGGAGCATGCCTCACTGGCTGACCCTCTGTGTAAGGGAGTGTATGTTTCTTCCTTGCTGAGAGGGCAAGACTGGTACATTCATGAGCCATCTACCCTGCTGGGCTATGGTTTTAAGAGCAACATGCCTTCCTGTCCTTTTCAAACTCTGCCCTCTAGAAAACACATCTCTATCATTATTTATGACAGGAGACTCCATCATATCAGAGGATAAAGAAATCGGTGATGAAGAGAGTATTAGGGAAATGAGAGAGTTACAGGACAGAGAACTTCATTAGAGGGATAAAAAAACAGGGAAGAGGAAGCTTTAATGAGGCTCTTGTTTATTACTTTTGCTAATTTAGGAAGTCTTGCTGCTGGCTGTGTCACTGGAAGGTTAAATTGTACAGACGCTTTCAAAATTAATATTGCAATGAGCCAGAATACAGGACTCAAGTATTCTCTTACATTTAATGGATAAATCTCAGCCTCAGACTGTCGGTATGTTGAGTTTCAAAAGCCATGGCTTCTTCAGGAGTAATACCGTGCTTGGCCCTTTATACAGCAGATTGGTCTAGAGTAAGGCTGCTTTCTTCTGAATACCTTTTTTTGCAGTTAGCTATAGGCTGGGTTTGCTCATTTTTTCCTTTTTTTTTATAATTTTTTTTTTGTTTTGTTTTCCTGAGTCCTGTTTCTACTTGTTTCTACTTCTACTCTCTAGTTAAGAACCTAACCACTGTTTGTGGTACAGAAGGTGCTAATACCAATCACCTTCTAAGCAAACGCCTTTAACTATACTTATTGAGCACTCATGAATTCTCACTAGGAGGCATAGTGTTGCCTGTACTTGCTCCAGATGCAGGCAGCTCTGGACATAGGTCACCTATGGCAAGCATGCTGACAGGTCAGAGTCAGGAGAGCATATTGGGGGCTGTAGATGCAGGATGGATATATCCATTATTATGTCTGAAGTGCTGTGGCGGTGATTCCATCTTGGAATGACAGAAATTATACTGAACTTTTTTCTTTACCTCATGGAGCTTCATTTTTTTCTGACTTCATTTATTGAAATGGTCCATTCATAAATTAACATTTTTAGTCCTGTGTTTCCCAGCAAATATTATAACGTCATGTTACACCATGTGGTGTTTCCTTTTTTGTCACAGGCAGTCTTATGAAGTTTTATGGCTACATTAGTTGTTACTGCATTTTTCTTCCCTTGTTTTCCTATTTTTAACATCTCTATTGTTCCAGCTGAAAAATGGCTGTTACGGAACTTTCCTTCTCTGTGATATATAAAGACCAATCGATATTTATCCATAAGTTGGAGATGGAAATCTCATACATGTGCCAAACATTTGGTAGCAAATATTAGATACATATCTGTTAATAGATGCCTTTCTTATACAACTTCTTTCAGTTACTGTTGACTAGCTCCACCAGTTTTAGGGATTATTATCCATAATCTTTATTTACTGGATTTAACTTCTAGAGGAAGTCGATTTAGGCTGCTAGGCTGTCTGATGAGTATAATTACTCTACTAATGGTGGCTGGTTTTAAGCTGAGTTTTTTGTGGAACAACCCCTAAAGCAGATATTGTTTTACTGTCATTAAGGTAGTTTAGCCTAATACATGACATTTATTTGATTTTTCATAATAACTTTATGCTGACAACATCAGATCAGTCAAATCCTGTTCATTGTGTGTGATATACTGTTTAGCCAGAGGTGCAGCTGCCTTTGTGTGATCTCTTGTTAAGTGGTACCTACCAAATGGGATTCCAGTTTGGGGGAGAGGCCGGCATGCCACACACTCCTAACCGGAGTGTGCTCCTTATCTGCTGCCTTGTGCTGAGGACACTCTCTATTACCATGGGACCCAGGCCCCAGGTGAGCCTGTCCTCCCTGACACAAGTCCAAGTGGAGATGGGGTCTTTTCCGGAGTGGCTGGGTCATGGAAAGTTGAAGAGTTGATGAAGTGCTACTCCCCAGTGGATGCACTATACTGGCTGTATTGATAGAGTTCAAGGGAAGCAATTTCAGTTATTAGACACTAACTGAGAGCTAAGGTTTTATTTTTCAATACAGACTGTCCTTGCTCGTATTTGCTGTCATTGATACAGTAGATAGTGTTTTGTGATAACAGTATCATCACGGAGAACCATAGTATGTCAGGAAAGATTTTTTAATATGATCCATCACAAGGGCAGTAACAAAAGCCCAAAAATGTGGAAGCATCTGTGTCATTTCAACAGAAAGCTAACTTTGGCAGAGTTACAGGTCTGGAAGAAAAGTTGCCCTTTGAAATTCTTATGTCCAGTGAAAGCTCTTCTCCCTGCTTTCCAGCCAAGTAGCTGGGAGTGGAACATCATGCTTCTCAGCAGACTTTATTAACTCAATTAAACTAAAGAGATATAAAGTAAATTACTGCATCCTAATTATACAAAAATATCGATAAACAAGCAACAAAAACAATTATATAATGCACTCTGAAATTAAGATGTTTGAACCACTAACAATTTAAATCAAAGCAACAGTAATAAAATAAGTGTAATGTCACTAATTACATCATTTCATCTTTCAAAGTAAAAAAGATAAATTTTTGTTGACCTGGTGTATTTTGGCATTTTAAACTATAGAAATGGAACATGAATGGGTTTGACTTACGCAGCAGCACAGAGAAGTACATCTTTTGTGGAGTGAGAAGCTGAATATGCAGTGACGGGGGAAATATATGCTTATAAGAAACCTTCACTCGGCCTAGTAGGCTGTGGTGAGGTAGGAAACTATTGCCAGGCATCTGTTGCCTGCAACCAATTTCTTCTTCTTAAGCTCTGTTACAGTGGATTGATTAAAATTCCCAGCTGATATACTCAGACTGTGTTTGATAATTGCTAGTGTTTTCTACATCAAGACTGACAACAACAGAATTGGAGCTCAGTGATGTTAAAACTGGTCTGTGACAGCTTTGATTTCAAATAGAACAGTATTCTTTTAGACAAATAGTAGAGGGAGGTTTGGGTTTTTTTTCCCTTTCTTTCTTCCCCCCTCCTTCCTTCTTTGTTTTGAAAACCTAAGATTGTGCAATCCAGGGAGGTTTGGGGGCATTACTTTGATTAGGTAGAGCCATATGTCCCTCAAACAAATGAGAACAATACTGATACTGAAGATGAAAAGAAGCCAAAAAATACAGTAAGCTGCTGCCTGCACAGTAAAATTGGGTTTTTTTTTTTGGAGTTCTTGACCTGATCTTTTTGGCACATGGGAACTTCTGTGAAAAAGCAGCATTAAAAGGTCACTGGCAGGTTCAGTCTTACTCCTGCGGGATAGTATCATTAGCTTCACTGATGGCTGGATTTGGCCCAGGCAGGGTAATATGATCAAAAACTAAAACAGTAGATGTTACATTTTTGTACACTTAATGTGCTGTTTCAGAGTAATATGAAGCAAAGTTATATACAAAGAAAGACTGATTATAATGTCATGTAAGAAAGAACCCCTGTATAGACCTTAGAAAGAAAATTACTTGGGTCTTTTGTAGAGTAAGAAGCTGAGCTTGCAGTGGTGGAAAAAATGCAAGAGTGTGTAATAATCAGTGCCCACAATGACCCCAGGTTTTCTAACAAAATCAGCTGTCAAAAGATCTGACCCATCCAAATACAAGCCATGGAAATGCACCCTTCTACACCATTGCCTTGAACCAATCAATAACAATTCAATCCAGGCAGAATTCAGGCAGAGCCTATTATAAGCCATCTAAAACTGAATTGCTGTCAAAGAATTAGACGTGAAGGGGATTGCCATACTAGTATCTGATGGGAAAAAATACTGCCAGAGTTTAGTAAGGTAGGACAGTCTCAGTTATTGCTCAGTGCCAACTGCTTAAAAAATCCAGAATGATACTGAAAATATTTTAAATATCTAAAGATAAATGAAGATTGACAGCCTTGGCTTTGATCCTAGCAGGAACTGAGGCAAGTGAAAATATGGTTGTGCTTATTATTTCCTGTTGGTCAGAAATTTGTTTGACCTGTGGCTCGATCCAGAACAGAAGATAGATTTCACTCATGCACATTGAATTTGTATAAAGCTCTAGCTACTCCTGCTGTGTGAACAAGAACTGCATTTCCTTTTGCAGGAACAGAGAAAAGGAAGGTGTTACAGTATAAGAGGAATGCTTTTATCTTTATTTTTTCTTTTTTCGTTGCTGAACTCAGAAGGTCCCTAGTCTTGGACCCTTCTATTAAAAAGTTCTCCACCAAATTGTTATTTTATCTTTTTGTTCTAATCTGAGTGCAACTATATATGGATTACCAAGTGTTTTGCACAGAAGAGGAAAGAATTAGAATTTTCATTCTTTTATAATGGTGTTATTGTAAGTACACATTTTATTATTAGTTGTCTGCTGACACAAAATGAGTGAAATACTTTTTATTTGCTGAACACTAAAAATCTCATTTTATATATTGCACTAGAAGCACCCTAACAATAAGAGTACTCCTTTGTTACTTAGAAATTTGGTTAGATGGAGGTACCTTGAAAATACTGCTCCTTGAGCTTACCGATGCTTTCAGGACAGGGTTGGGAGGACGGTACAGATGGGCTCATTATTCAGTATCCCTGCTGACTGGTTAAGTGCACTGTTACAGATTGCTCGAGTGGATGTGCTGTGAAGCAGCTTTTAATATGTAAGGAGATGAAACAGGGCCCATTAGGGAAACAAGGGAAATGTGAGGTAATGACTGGTTAATACCCTTGGGTGTGAGGGTGTAAGGTGCTTGCTCTTGAACCATGCCTTTCAGTGACTGAAGAGGTAATTTGAGTGTTCACTTGGATTGGCATCCAAGGAAACTATTTTGGATTGATAGGGGTAATCAAATGTTATATTAATTTGGGGGTTGCGTGCACATTTGTAAGTCATTGGCCATCTTACCCATGTTGTGTTACTCCCAAGGCACTCCTGTCCACAGAGTGGCTCACTTGTTTCTCCTCCTGCCTGCATTTTTCTTTACCTCCTGTGGCTGACATCTTTCCTGCCAGATGTGTCTTTTCCACAAGGTAATTCTCTTCACTGCTCACTGCTATCCTGGGGGATTCTAGGGCTGTCAGCCACACTTCTACCTTCTGCAGTTCTGTCTCTTTTTCTTGCACATTTTTCTTCCTTTGCTTGTCTCTTGCCACTGCTGCCTTCTGTTTCTCTCCTAGTCTGGACTTCACTGCACCCTGTAAAAACAAGAAAGGCTCAGGCGCAGCTAAGAGTCAGAGATTGTCGCATTTGAAAATCATTCTATGAAGAGTATCCTCTGAACCAGAAAGCCAGAGATTAAGGTCTTAACTAGTTAAAGAGGACAAAATTGCCTTTGTGGCTATAAATAGCCCTCAAAAGGAAATATTAAATGTGTTTTGGATGGAGAATAAAATACTTGGCTCTGTAATGCATTGAAAAGCTGCACATTTCTCAGTTCTTGAGCTTGCAGTTTTTGCTTAGTGGAGATAGTATCTCCAGTCTACAGTTACCTTTGACAGATAGTATATAATCAGTATTCACCCATATGTTGTCTCTGTTTAATATATAGAAATAAGAACCATAAAATATACCATAATTAGACAAGCTACAGGCTTGCTGAGACGTAAGATACCCTCTTCTGTGCTGTCAGTTATCTTTTCTTGAGGTTTCCTTCTTGCTGCTACCTTGACATATAATTCAGGTACATATCCTGACTATCTACTACAGCCCCACTTATTGTAGTTTTTTATATGATAAAACCTTAAAAGAAAGATATTTACATGCCCCATTGAGAGCACATGGAATATTCTCTGTTCATAATGTTACCCAAGAGCATGTTGAAGTAAGAAACTTTCTAGTTTTTCTTTATTTATATCTACGTAGCTGTGTAAATACCAATTCAAGAGTATGAGAAAGTCCCCTGAAGATAATAAACAGCTATGTCATATATAGTGGGAGTTCTCTGTACCTTTCTATGACTGACTCATCAAATAACTTCATTCCAAACACATTGGATACGTCATGGATGCAGAATGGCTTTTGCATTTTACTTTTAATTTACACTCCACCAACTGTATTATCTTCCTAATAGAGCTATTTATCAGGGTGGTGATTGAGTCTACTTTACATTATGTCTTTTGAAAAATATCTAAATTAGGATGGTCTAAAACTCAAACAAATTATGGGTACTTCAGTTGCTTATGTTTGTGCTCCATGGGCAGCAATTTACCCAGTGTTTTTCCAATTCAACTAAATGGGAGACAGCTGGGGGCTAGCAAGACTCATCTTACCAAAGCATAGATATTTTAAACAGCTGGCAATAAACTGTAATTTATATCTATAAAGTAAAATATTTCCCAGAAGAAGTACCTTTAGAGTACACTTGAAAGCTGCATCTGAGCTGACATGAAGGAGAGCTTTGTATCTTATTGCCATAGGCTAGGGCTTCAGTTTATAATTAATTTATATGCTGTTCCTCTGAAATGCTGTAACTTTTATTATTAATCAATTTAAATTGAAAGAAGTAGTAGTTCTAAGAATTAAAACCAGACTTCCTTCAGTAATTGAATTCATCAAACTAGTTTCATAAGTAGTAAATGTGACTGAACTCTGTATGATGAGAACATCAGTGAAGCTAAATTCATGTACATCATGAACTTCACAAAGTCTGTATTTCACTCTGTCTTTTCTAAACTGTTATCGGTGATGCTCTGGAGAGGGCTAAGCGAGTTATCTAGAGCACTGAGAGTTACTGTATTTCATAAGAATCTTGACTTAGCTTTTTCCACACCAGATTCTGATTGCTGAAAGATTTAAATACATTGTCTTTTAAAATCTCTTCTCTGTCATTCTTTTCAGAACCAGGAGATACACTTTGTCTTAAAACACACACAGTGTTACAAGACTTGCAAAGCACTCTGTTTCTGTTCTTCTCTAATTCTTTGAATGTGCTGTCTCCATTAAACTCAGCAGGCCAACACAGTTGTAGGGTCCATGAGATATGTATAATGGAAGTTGTGTTATCAGAGCATCTGAGAGGTTGTTGTGGTTCAGTGACATTGAATAAAATCAAGAAGATTCTATTGTTTTGAAATAAAAGCAGTGCATGCAAGGAGATGAATGTGATGCCCTGAAGATCTGAGGCATTTGAGCAGCCTGCAGGTAATAAAGAGATTAATGTGTAGTAACTCAGAGTAACCCAAAGCAGCAAATGTGGTCTCAAGAAATAGTATTGGTATTTGCCTTTACAGAATCATAGCATCAACTAGGTTGAAAAAGACCTTTAAGATCACCAAGTCCAACTGTTACCCCAGGACTACCAAGCCCACCACTAAACTGTGTCACTACGGGTAAACTGGTCTACCCTCAAGACCTCCCCTTACGGCTGCCCCTCATGATCTCCCCTCAAAGCCACCTCTCATCTGCCCCACATAGTGACCCCTGCCCCCCCATGGCCCCCCCTCCCTCCCAATGGTTGACCCTGCTCTCCCCTCATGATCTTCCCTCATGATCTCCTGTCATGACTGCCCCTCCCCTCTCACAGCCACCCCTCACATCCCACGGCTGCCCTTGCTCTCCCCTCATGATCTCCCCTAATGGCTGCCCTTTCTTTCCCCTCACAATCTTCCCTCATGGCCACCCATTCCCTCTCCTCATGACCTTCCCCCATGGCTACCCATTCTCTCCCCTCACAATCTCCTCTTATGGCTGGCCCTCCTCTCCCCTCACAATCTCCCCTCACATCCACACTTCACCTCTCATGATCTTGCCTCATGGCCGCTCCTCCTCTCCCCTCACGATCTCTCCCCATGAATGCCTTTCCTCTCCCCTCCTGATCTCCCCTTATGACTGCGCTTCACCCCTAATGGCTGCAACTCCTTTCCCCTCACAGTGTCCCCTCATGGCCACCCATTCTCTCCCCTCACAATATCCCCTCATGGCCACTGCTCTTCTTCCCTCACAGTCTCCCCTCACAACCGCCCTTCACCCCTCATGGCCACCCCTTGCCTCCCCTTATGATCTTCCCTCAAGGCCACCTCCATTCCCCTCACAATCTTTCCTCATGGCTGCCTCTCCTCTCCCCTCATGATCTCCCCTCATGGCCGCCCCTCCTTTCCCTTCACGATCTTCTGTCATGGCCACCTGTTCTCTCCCACCATGATCTTCCCTCCTGGCCACCCATTCTCTCCCCTCATGATATTCCCTCATGACTGCCCCTTCTTTTCCTTCATGATCTCCCCTCACGGCCACCCATCCTCTCACCTCACAGCAGTATGGCTCTTCAATGGCAGCTTCATACTCAACAAATTGCTGAGCTACTGTGGTGAGCTGAAGTTCTTTTCTAAAGTCTCTTCTGCCTGTGACTACATCAGTGCTGACTTAATATCTTCACTCTGGCAGTAGTGTGGCAGAGACTAGAAATTAGTAAATAAAAGCATTTGGTGGGTTGTATTGGGTACTTGGCCTTCAGTCTACTGTTCTCGAGCTCTAACAACAGCCTTAGCCATCTGCTAATGGCTAGTAGAAACAACTGAAGATCAGCATTTCTGAGCTAGCCCAGTCTTCAAATTAACTACATTGCTCTTTTTCACTTTGGAGTTGCTTTGAATAATGATTTTTCCCTGTGACATATTTTACTGTTAAATTTCACTTAAATTTTTTATTTTCTTTTTTGCTCAGTAATTCCTAATGTAAATTTAGAATATGGTGTTAGATGGTACGGTAGGCACATATGCTGTTTAAGTTGGATTGTAAGCACTCATGACCATTGTTTGTGTTACACTGCAATCCTTTTAGAGTGGGGAGCCTTCTCATCATGATACATGAACATAGTGTTTCCAGAGTGTAGATCTGGCATATGTACATTACTAAAATGCTAAAATATTAAATGTTTTATATTTCTCTTGATTTGAATTTGTAGACATCTAAATACAATGAACTCTGGTTCATATTCAGCTATTACCTAGGTATGAGTTAGCAAGAATATAAATATTTGCCTAGATAAATACGGCAGTCTACTGAAAGTCATTCAGCACAACACCTTAATATTTTCTGATATATTTTAATATTTTCCTTGTAACACACAAAGAATAGTAATACCTTGTATATTGTCTTTTCCCTGGTTCATTGTCTAAAATCCTTATGTGTTTAAAAAAATCTGGTATAACTAAACTAAAAAGCTTTCTGATGAAACTTTTTTTTTTTTTTAAATACTGATTTGTCAAAATCATAATTTATAATTTTGACATATCCTTGTTTAGCTGAAATTTCCAGTGGGAGAGTTTCTCTGGTCCAGAAATAAGAAAGATGAAACAGCAGTTTAGGTATTAGCTGTCTAATTGGATCCAGTAAAATGTTGAGTGACCCAGCTAATTTGCTATTTGGCTGCATTAAATTCATAGAATCATAATGTTTTGGCTTGGAAGGGACCTTAAAGCTCATCTAGGTCCAACTCCCCTGCCACGGGCAGGAGCACCTTCCACTAGACCAGGTTGCTCAAAGCTGAATCCAACTTGGCCTTCCTTGAAGACTGCCAGGGTTGGGGCAAGCACAGCTTCTCTGGGCAACCTGTGCCAGTGTCTCACCACCCTCACAGAGAATAATTTCTTCCTCATGTCTAATCTAAATCCACCCATCTTTCTTTAGCTCTGGTTTCTGGGTTTTGTTATGAGATTGCTCCCAGTTTCTTTGCCTTTGTTTATATACTTATTTATCTATTTTTGTATTGATTTTTTAATTTTAACAGAGGCAGAGATCTTGGGTTTTGGCAAGCCCTGGTTAGGCTAAACCTCTCTGACACATATTTCACTAAGAAGCCTAGAAACACTTCACTGAAACTGTAAGAACTAAAGTGCATAGTTGCAAAGAGAAATAAACATGTGATAACAAAATACTGGTTTTATTAGAAGGGGATGCATGACTCAGTGATGTGTGGGAGCTTCTGTTCTCATCTGGTTGTGTGTCTAAGGACTGCATTTGCTGTGCATTAGCTAAAGCATCATTGATGCTGTTCTGTTGGTTATTTACCATCACCGTAAGTCCAGTCCTCCGTAACCCTGCTTTTCAAGATCTAGTATCTCACCTTATAAGTGTGACATAGTCTCGTGGTTCCTTTTAACTCTCTCCATATACTCTTTAGCATTGCTGTCTAGGAAAGTGCACATGAACAGCATAAAATAAGTCAGCCTTGTCAGTTGTTATGACTGAAAAGAAAATCACGGTTAAGCTTTCTTCTGTGAAGTGACTACGCTGGTTTTAGCACTGGGACAGAAGATGACAACTGTAGTCTGAGATTTACAAATGTGATTTATTTGAAAAATTCTCTTACTTAAGACATAAATGCAAATGTAAACATATCATCTTACTGTTGCCAAACATTTCCATTGTGATCTGATTTTGGCAATGTGCAAACTAAAGGCAACAAACGCATCCAAATGGATTAATCGGTAAATGTTGAACAGTGGAATCCTTAGAAAACTTACGCCTATTACCAGTATTCTAATATGTGCAGCCCTGTCATCATGACAGGACATGACTTCATGGTTTTCAACTTTCTGGTACTTCAACTGTGAGATCTTTGTTTTTATTCTATGCATACAGAACTGAAATGTAATACACCTTGTAATCAATACTGGAATTCAATTTTGGACTGTGATACCATAAAATATTTACTTTAAGAAGCAAAGATGCAGCAGCTTTTTTACAGGAGAGTGATATGAATAAGCTAATGAAAGGAGTATGCTATAGCTGCTGTTTATGTGGTAACAACTGCAGGCTTGAAAAGCAAATGCTAATAGCATATTCTGTATTAGCTAAGCAAGAAAACAGTACTTTAAAATGCACCTTTAAATTAAAATTTAATTTGCCAGTATGCTCAATTTTGCAAGTTTCTAATCATTGTTCTATATATAAATCTCAAAAAAAAAACCCAAAAAAACCCCCAAAACACCCCTAAAAGAGGGGTTACTTGCAGATAATGAAGAAAAGGCCAAATGTGATATAACCAGCATGTCCATAGAAGCACATAAAAGTAGACCTATGCAAAATGCCCCCAAGCTATTTCTGCATCCCCACAGGTGGTTTCTGTAAATAGAGAAGACTCCATGTTGTATTTATCTTAACTTTTTTATCCTTTTTTAATCATGTATTGCAAGTTTTCCTTTGTCCTTCTGTCCATAACTGTGTTGCTCCCTCTTTGGGTGATCTAGTCCCATGAAAAAAAGGAGTTGAAAGACTCGATTCACATTGTATAGCCAAGAAAAGGGGAAAAGTGAATAAAATCTTCAAGTGAAAAACAAGAAAGAGAGATGGTGTCTGAAAGTTCCCTAAATGGACTTTCCTATGCTAAAGTATAAGCACACTTTCCCATCAGCTAGGAAGAATATAAGTGAAGTTCATTCAGTATCTTTTTATTTTTCTTGGGCTGGCACTTTTACAATTTCAATATAAAGGATCTCCATTAGACCTGGTTAAAATGCTGATGAGAGTCTACTTCTATAAGAAACTGAGAAGGGAGTTCCTGTTGTAGAACAATGCTCACATGGACAGTGACGCTGTAGTAAGTCAGCTTCCTCTAAGATACTTAACCTTTTTTTCCCCAAATTGCAATATTTCAGTATATTCTTAACTTGTCCCAGAAAAAGAGAAATAAAATCAGTTTTATTTTTTCTTTATTTTGCTTTTAGGTATATATTTTTGTCTTTTTTTCACAAGCTGTAAATGCTACTCCCCAGGTGTACCCAAGAGGCAATGTTTCTAGATCTATAGGTTTAATCCAGCTGCTACAATCTCTGCTGCAAAGAGCTGCTGATCTAGCCATGAAAAGCCAGTGTAAGGAGAGCTTCTCTCTTTCCCTCCTTCTGATTACTTGGACTGATCATTGGGAATACTATACAGCCCTGATGGCT